ATAGCTTTTTCAGGATACATTAAATATAAAATATCCTATATTTTTTGACATGATGTATAGGAAAATGTCTGGAAGGGTACATACCAAAATGTTAACTGTTTGTTTAATATGGTAGAAGGTGGTTTTCACATTATTTTTCACTCTTGCAAATTTTCTTTTTTCTTTTTTACAATGAACTTATATTAGTTATACACTAAAAAAGGCCACGCAGGCGGAAAGTGTAAATAAATTCTAAAAAAGGTTGGGCAGATTTACGAAAGGCGGACTTCTAAACAGATGTAACAGCATAATGGTTAAGATAAGCCATGGTTTGAATCCCCTTCCCAACACTTTCTAGCAGTGTGATCCCAGGTTATTCATATGCCAGTGCCTACTTCACCTGGAAAATGGGGACAATAATAGTACCTATCTCATAAGGTTGTTGTAAATGAGACTATACGTGTAATCTGCTTTGTACAATGCCTGGCATGCAATAAGTACTTGACGAATGGTAACTATCATAATAATCATTAGTACTAGTAATAAGAGATGTCGGGACGTACCTAGCCCTCAAGATTGACATCAGACTGGACCACCACATTCTGTCATCACTGCGCCTCAATTTGGGCCTCTGAAGCCCAAAGAGGGGACCGTTCTTCCCAAAGAGGACAATTTCGACGTGGCAGAAGCATCTGAATGAAACGTGCCCTCTTCACCCCTTAACCACTCAGTCGGTCTGGTCAATCCATGAGCAGCAGTGCGAGGCCCGGACTGGAGAGGCAGCCGCGGCTCGCCGTCCTTGGGCCCAGTCCCTGAGCCTCAACTTCCCCCGCTGCAACTGGGGTGGGGGCGGGAAAGCTATCCCAAAACCCAGACAGTAGGCCCGGTCCGCCTCACGGCGCTGCGGCGGGATCAACCGACAGAACGCACAGGGAAGCGTCTAGCGACGGGCCACGCGCCACACGGCAAAAGTGATTATTGGCCGGACTCAAAAGTCAGGTAAGCGGCTCGGCTTCATCCTCCCAGTCCTCAGGCACAGGGACGACAGTGTGGGGCGGGGAAGGGGCAGAAGGGGCGGCGGCGGACGGGGCACACTCAGATGGAGCCGCCTGAGTAGGGGACCGGGAAGGGGAAGGGGAACGGACAGAGGCTGAATTTATTGTTTAATGAAAGAAAAAGAGTATCAGTAGGTAGGAGTGCTTATCTATTATGGATTGAATTTTGTCCCCCCAAAAGTTTGGTGTGATGGAGGCTTAGTCCCCACTGTGACAGTGTTGAGAGGGTGGGAAAATCCTATTGTGGTAGTTGAAAGGTGAGGCCTTGGAGAGGTGATTGGGCTGTGATTGGACCCTGATGAATGGATTGATCCATTCTTTGAATAATGGGAGTGGTTCTGGTGGCTTTAAAATGAGAGTGAATGAGGAGGTTCATCTCTGTCTCTGCTCCACCATTTTCTGTCATGTGAGACCCCTGCCCTGCTGTAAAGCCACCACCAAAAAAGACCCTCACCAGATGTGTTCCCTAGACTTTGGACTTCCCAGCCTCTGAAATTGTAAGTAATAAATTTCATTTTCTCACAAATTACCCAGTTGCAGGTATTTTGTTGTAAGCAACAGAAATGGACTAAACATTATCATTCAAAAAATTTCTCATAAATATTATTTTTCACAAACCAGATTTTGATGCTTACTAACTGGCAAGGAGATGGAGGCTACACTCCCTGGAATTTCAGAGAGGACAGTTATTCTATTTTGCCATTTAAGTCCAGACTTCTATGTTTTAACAGTCTATGTTCCCAATGGCAGAACTGATAAAGTCTTTAAAAAATAAAGAACTTTACACATGCCTAACTAGAAGATTACCCCAGGGAGGCACAGCATATTGAGGTATCTTCTTCTGTGATCTATCTTGTCATGTCTATTCTTCAGTTCTATCTTTTTATTTAATAGACTCATAAGAATCCTCTCAAAATATTTGGTATATTTACTCATTGACATATAAATTGTCTATGTTCTCTAAGTTTGCTATTTAAAACAGAAATATATTAAATTGGTTTGTTTAAAAATATCCAGTTATAAAAGACTTCTAAAAAGGAAAGAAGCATATCTTTTTAAATATTTATTGGTTTCATATTAATAAATGTTTACCAATATTTTTAAGCAAATACTATGTGCCAGGCATTGGGGATGAAATGACAAGTGAGATGTAGTCCCTACGGTCATAAAACCTGTCTCCTAAAAAAAAAAAAAAAA